AATGTGACATTATGATATTTCGGATCTTTTGGAGGAGTTGCCAACTAACCAGAACTCATGATACCATATCGTCCTTCATATCATTATGATCCATAAAATTGCTCTTATTCAACCCAAGATACTATCATGCAATTAAAAGCACTAGTTACTTAATATTTTTATACTCACCAAATATTATTATTATTATTACTATTATTATTTTTCCTTCTTCGAGTGATAGTGGATTAGTTGGTTGAGGTGTGGAGCATTTAAAAGTTGTACGACTATAGAGAATGGTCATCCCAATACGTCAATCTTTTTTGTATTTTTCGTTTGTATTCCGTTTTGTACCTCTTCTCTTCTCGTTAGTTTTATACTGAAACTCAAATGGACTAATTACTCTAGATACTATGATTAAGAGCTTACAACTAGGATAGTTACTAAGTATTTTTATATTCACCATATATTATCTTCTTCTTCTTTTTTTCTGAGTGATAACATATCAGCTGGTCGAGGTATGGAGCATTCAAAAGTTATACGGCCATAGAGAATTGTTAGTGAAATAGTGAGTGATTGAATGGTAGATGAGAAGATTGAATTATGAAGAGTGCTCTTATATATAAGAGAATACAAAAATATATTTAGAAAATCTACCTAAAAATCTGCAGAAAAAATATGATAACAAACACGTAAACAAATCAAAACAAAATCTAATCAAGTAAATCAAATCAAAACTAAATCTAACTCCTAACAGAGATTTAATAATTAGATACTGACAGCAATCTAAACAAATACGTGATCTTTACTCCTCGTTTAGATGTTGTGAACTCCAAGCTTTTTTCTGAACACCCATATTGCTCCAATTATCTTTCTGTTTAGAGGTCGATCAACTAACTCCCAGATTTTGTTTTTCTCGATCACCAAAAGCTCCTCCTCTGACAGGTGAATCATCAACAAAAGCATCTTGTCGTTCATCTTCAGACTGTTCTAACATGCTACCAAAGATTAAATTGTTTGGTGCATTAGAAATCTGATTCACCTTCGTCAGTTCTTCCCAATTTCATTGCTCATTTCTATCAAAATGAACATCTTGCCTCACAATAACACGACTAGTGTGTGGTTGAAAAACTCTATAAGCTTTAGATATAGTGCTATACCCAACAAAGATGCCAACTTTTGACTTTTTGTCAAACTTATCACGCTTGACCTGTGGAATGTAAGTGAAGCAAACACACCCAAATACTCTAAGGAACTTTAAAGAAGGTTTGTAACCATACCAAACCTTAAATGGTGTGAGGTACTTCACAGCTTTTGTTGAAATTCGATTTTGCAAGCACACAACAACGTTTGCTGCTTTTCCCCAAAAACGTTTTGGAAGATCCTTCTCATGAAGCATGCATCTTGTCATCTCCATTATGAATCTATTCCTCCTTTCACTGACGTCATTCTATTGAGGAGTGTTTGGTGTTGTCAATTGATGTTCAATTCCAGCCTCTTCACAAAACCCGTTAAAAGTTTTTGAAGTGTACTCCTTGCCATTATCTAATCTTATAGTCTGAATCATGCATGCACCTTCATTCTCAACTCTGGTTTTTTCCAAAATACACCCGCAACTTCTGACTTTTGCTTCAGCAAGAAGATCCAACACATTCTTATTAGATCATCAATAAAAATAGTGTAATAAAGATTACCATTTAATGATGGTGTTCGCTGAGGACCACAAAGATCAGTATGAACCAGTTGCAGCTTTTTCGAGCCTCTCCATGCCTGTTTAGGAAAGGATTGCCTATGTTGCTTCCCAAAATTACAAGCACGGTAAGGAGGCATGTCATCATCAATGTCATTGAGTTCTTCTATCAGCTTCTTTGACTGCATCTGAAGCAAACCTCGATGATGAGAGTGTCTAAATCTTTTGTGCCAAATCTCAGTGGCACTAACTCTGGATATAAAAGTTGTCGGAATTAGAGCAAAGCTTTTTCCTTTCATTTTGACATTGAACAAGTCTTTGCCACTAGCATCTCTGATCAAGCACTGCTTATTCTCAAACAACACTTTATAGCCTTTATCAAGTAACTGACCAATGCTTAAGAGATTTTGATCAATTTTAGGTACAAATAAAACATCTGGAATAAATTTTGTACCTTCATAGCTTGTTATAGCTACTGTGCCTTTTCCCTTGACTTCCAAGTGTTCATCATTGCCAATCCTCACTCTCTTGAGTTCAGTGTCTCTTAGTTCCTAAAAAAACTCCTTGTCATATGTCATATGATTTGTGCACCCATTGTCAATCAACCAGCTCTCGCTTGATTCTTTGCTTGAGGAAGAAGTGACCATAAACAATTGATCTTCTTCTTCTTCTTGATCAACTACCTGTGCATCTACTTCTTTCACCAGATCTTTGGCTTTGTAGATCACAACTTCATGTCCAAGTTGATTGCATTTGGAGCAGAAGGCGTCAGGTCTTCTCCAACACTTCTATGGTGGATGACCTTTCTTCTTACAATGACTGCAAAGAGGATAGGATTTTTTGGAACTTCCTTCTTTTGTCTTCTGATAATTGGCAAATGAATCTCCATACGTCAATTGGTTTTTGAAAATTTTCTTATTTTTATACCTGCTATTGTCTTGATGCTTGACATGTAAGACACCTTCAATCACCCCTTCTTGCCTCATAGACCTTCTTTGCTCTTGTGCTTGTAAAGCATTCAAGAGCTCTGTAAGAGAAATCTTTGACAAGTCTTTGGTGTTCTCCAGAGTAGTAATGGTGGCTTCAAACTTCTCTAGAACAGTGACTAGCAGCTTTTCAACGATCCTGGAATCATTTAATACAGAACCAAGCAATCTCACCTTGTTGGCAATGCTGAGAAGTCTGTCAGAGTACTCTTTCACCGATTCAGACTCCTTCATCTTCTGCAACTCGAAATCTCTAATTAAATTCAGGACTTTCATTCCACGAATCCTCTCATCTCCTTCATATTCAGCCTTGAGGTAATCCCAGATTTCCATTGCTATTTTGAGGGACATTTTTTGCATGAAAATCATTTGAGATACAACTGCAAATTGGCTGGTGACTTGGAACAGCAATTGGTCGATGGCTGATGCTCTCAGTGTTGAAGATTGTTCGGAAATGATCATAGATTTATAACTAAAGAATACATTTTCATTAACATGACTTCTTGTGGGAGCTCGAAGCAAACCCATGATATTATGTTCAAAGTGGACAAATATCATATAACATTGTAGAGATTTGTGATTAGCACCATGGTATCAAACTATGAACTTAACTTGGGTATGTCGAACAAAAAAGTTGTAAGCCTAAAAATCGTAGTCAAAAGTGTCGAACAAATTGTGTATTTTGTTCAAGGTCTCCAAACAAAGAAGTCAAGTCTCGATTAAAGGGAGTTTCTTGTAGGAATCCAAAGCTTTAGGGGAGGCTCTATGGTGTATTTTATTCGAGAGGATGCTATATGATCATAGGTAAACTATTAGGCTTCAAAGGTGGCTTTATGTGGTGTACTTAATGAGAGGGGAGACTCTATGTGTAACGATACACCTTTCCAGAAGAAAAAAAAAACGCTGAGATTTTCGGCGGGATCCACGCAAGCCCTCTTAAACCCTAGGAGAGGCCGCCTCCTTTAGGTAGGAGCGGACTCTAGGGGACTACGGAGCAAGGAGAGGCAAACGCGCCACTAGAGACGAACGAACGACGACGCTTCCACCAGCGACAGTAGCCAAGCTTCGTGATAGGATTTTCAGACGAGGAAGACGAAGCGACAAGCGTGGGTCGACCCTTGGTATTCCGCGAGTCGTCTCGGCCACCGCGCAGGCCGCATCTCGCAGGCCGCACTCGGACACCACCTCTGGGCATCGTTCCCTTTCGGCCCAAACAGGTGGCACGCCTAGAAACCTTGCGTCGGTAGTGTTCTTTGCAGCCGTCTGCTGCAGCTCCATTGACGGCTCCGCGCACTCCCAGCTTAGCTAGGTTCGGCTTGGCTGTACGGCTTGGCGGCTTGACGTCTGAATAGGTTACCGATTCCTAGGTTTTCGACCCTTCTGAAGTCATTCCCACCCTTGTTTCAACCAATTGAGGTCAGTATAACTTCATTTTGATGAAATAGTTTGCAATAGGGACGTACCTTGGTAGTTAGGCATAAGGGATAGTGGTAAAGGGCTCTAAGTGTATCATGTTATCTTATAGGAGGTAGTTAGGCGCCAGAGTTAGCGTTGTGGGTGACTTCAGCCAAGGCCAAGGAGGTAAGTAACCTTACTGTTGGCGTGAGTTATGTATGTATGTTGGTGCGTGCCTCGTGGCCCTTGCATACACCATGTATGTTGTTGATGTATGTTAGGCTAGATGCTCCTTGCAGTGAAATGCTATGTATGCCACATTTATGTATGTGATTCTTGGAGCGAAATGTTGTGTATGCCATGTTTATGTATGTGATTCTTGCAGCGAAATGCTATGTATGCCTTGTTTATGTATGTGCTTCTTGCAGTGAAATGCTATGTATGCCATATTTATGTATATGATGTTTGTGACACAGTTGCTACCTTGTATGTATGAGCTTGATTGACATGTCGTGATTGTAATGAGAACCCCGCATACCATGAATGAGACGACTAGTATGCTATGATAAGCTTGCTCGATGCTGACCTAGTTATGCTATGTAATGCGGTGAGGGGATGGAACATTGTATGTATAATGCCATGGAGGTAAACCTTAAGAACCTCATGCACGCTATGGTTATGTACCGGGGCACTCCCCCGTTATGCTACTAATGGTATGGACGCGTATGTTCGATATTGTGTTCGCCACAATATCATGCAGGCCCTCCTTTGTCCTTAACGTCCGGTATTGTATGTCATACATACCCGACCAAGCCAGGCCCAGGGAGTTCGCTTGCGACCTCGCTTAGTGGGCCCATAGTCACACGCGTGGGCCATGTGTGGGAAAGTACCACGCATCAACCCTCGCCTGGACAAAGCAAGGGCCTAAGGCTCTGGGAAGGAATGGAAGACATACCCCTCTCACGGTTTCTTTCTTTTAACACTTGTGCTCATGTAGGTGTATTGTGTGCGATATGTATGTGTATTATGTGCGACTTCTTGTATCCGTATGTGCGGTGACTTACTGTTTATTTTATATAATACTCAAGCCACGTGCTACCCATATTTTCAGGTAAGGGCAAGGCTCCCATGTACGGCTGACGGTGGATGCTGCGAAGGCCATGGAAATCTTGAGGAGAGTTTGTAGTGTTGTAGGCGCCTTGTGGGATTCTTTTGGGTTCATAGTTATTGCAACTGTTTCCTCTTGTTCTCTGTTGATTATTTCTAGGTTAGGTTGCCGTTATTGTTTTCCCCAGGTATGAATAACTTATAATAATGAATGCATTGTCGTATTTGAGACTGTCTTACGTGAATTCTAGTTCGGTTGATTATGCAAGTATGCAGTAACGACGCTAATTAGGTTAGAGAAAATTAGGGGCGTTACACTATGATCATGGGTTTATAAGTAGGGAAGTCAAAACAAAGTCATAAGAGTTTATGCTCTAGACAATATAATACTATTGTAGACAATATCATAGCTTTAATTTCAATACATAAATTCATGATTCTCTCACAAACTTTATTACAATTCATAAAATTTATAAAACCAAATCCCTTCATACCACCCAAGAATCATAAGGCTTTTCCCCAATATAGTTGCCAGGAGGATCATAATTGCAAACAACAAACTGAGAATTAGCCTTACAGTGCACTCTAGCACATCCAAGCCGCACCGATCTCCGCCACACCATCTGAGTGTAGTGCCCACATTTACCACCCACGCATTTATTCGACGCATGATCATACAGCAGCTTCTCGTTCCCCCACAGCTTCACCGCATCTACCCCGGTGAACCCAGGGTAGTACCCAGCAACTATGTTTTCCCCATACGGCCTGGTTGAGTGAATCATGGCACAGTCACCCTTTCTTTTTTTCGCATAGACTTGAGCGTACGCGGCCACGGTATTGCTCCATTGGATGGGGCCGACGCCGACCTGGGCTCGAGCGCGGTTGTGAAGCGCGAGGTAGTCACCGGAGGCGTTTTGAGCGTTGGTTAGGGCAAGGAGGAACATGAAAGTAGTCATGAAAGCGGCCATGATCGGAAGGGTTTGGGTCCACATAATTCCGATGAGAGATAAGATGAAGATTGAAAATAAGGGAAGGATTTATATAAAGATGGAAAACATAATATGAATGTGATGGGGAAAACGATGAATTATGAACTAATTATGTCATGCATTATGGTTAATTTTTGAAGATACATTTTTACTTGCCAAGTTGGTACATATTTATTGCTTTATTTAATTTAATTTAATTTAATTTATTCTTCAACCACTTTTTTAAATGTATATTAAAATTTAGTGGCTTAATTAAATGTTTGAAAATAAATAAATAAGGTTAATATTCTACTCAAAGTTTTGAGTAAATGAAATAAATTAATTTAACCTAAAAATTTTATGATCGAGTTAGATTGGGTTTATTATATAACGAGAATTTCTTAGAAATATTGATGACTAATTGAGTTACGGATTTTTGTTTTTTTTTTTTTTTAAATGAACCTAAATTAAAACATAGATCAATGAATGAAAGAGAACCTCCAACCTAATTGAGTTATATTCACCTTACCATTATTATAAAAATAATAATAATAATAATAATAACCTTTGAGCAATTAGTTAAAATAAAAATTATTTATAAAAACCATTTTATAGCTAATCGAATTCCAACGTATATGGTAAATTCCAACCCAATAAAATTTCTCAAATAAAATAAAGTTTTCATTTCTAAAAATTAGAGGATTAATTCTATGTCTTTTGACTTCCATGGATCCTAAAAAAAAAAAAAAAAATGACAAAGCCAGATGATTAAGAACCATGAAGTGAAAAAGAGCAGAGTTTGAACTCCACTCTCAATAAAATTTCAAAACATGCTTCTTTTTAATTTTTTTGGACAAAAAAAATTGATGATTGTTTACCAACCACACCATTTTTAGACCGAGCGGAGAATTGAGCTGTGGTAAACCATCCACCATCTTCTTTTGCTCAAGAGTCTTCCATATCTACGGTGTCAAAGTTGTTCAATATATTTTGTGATTGTATTGAAACAAGTGGATGCTACAGGCTGAAATATAGCATGCAGTACGAACATTCGATTCAAAGACATCTTTGTCTCCAGGATTAAGCCTCTCAGGATGAAACACCTCGCATGTTTCATTTTGAAACAAAATGGTAAGCCCCTTTGATTGCAATTTCTCAATACTCAACAAATTGTTCTTCAGCTCTGGCATATAGGTATGATTCCATTCACTTGCAGCCGTACATTACTCTTTCCTGTTACAACCATGCTTCAGTTGTTGCCCAACTTCAAGCAATCTCTAAAACTACCATCAAAATCTGAAAAAATATTCTTTCTTCCCACACATATGATTGCTACATCCCGAGTCAAGGAACCACATATCTTCTCTATTGGTATTATTCATATTCACGTAAGCCGTCAACATCTCTTCTTGAGTCTCTGCATAGTTTGCCTCTTTCTCCTTGCTTTGAGATTCCCATTGAAAATGTCCTAGCTTGTGACAATTATAGCACTCCACTGTGGCCCTGTTGAAGGTTTGTCTGCTTCGTCCCCTTCCTCTGCCTCTAAAACTTCCACGACCTTGACCCCTTCCTCTAGATTGTTCACCATGAGTGATATTCAAAGTGTGTTCTTCTTCAACATGAGAACTCATGTGTTGTTCATGCACAAGCAGGCTGCTTTGCAACTCATTAATGGTTAAGATGGTTGTATCCTTGGACTCCTCAGTGGAACACACAATATAATCAAACTTGGGGGTCATAGATCCCAGAATCTTTCCGACTACTTCAACATCTTCTTTGTTTTCACCATTTAGTTCATCTTGTTGGCTATGCTAAGGGTCCGAGCAAAATACTCATTCACAGATTCTCCTACCTTCATGTGCAGCATTTCAAACTTCTTTCGAAGAGCTTGCAAATGTGCACGCTTTACCCATGTCGAACCTTGATATTTCTACTTCATAAAATCTGACATGTTTTTTTTGTTGTATCCTTGTTGTGGGTTGTCTCTGAGAGATCGAATGATCTAATGCTTGAAATAGATAATTCTTTGGTTTCAAATTTTTCAATTTATGATCTTCAATGTGCTTAAAGGGCATTTCAGTAATTCAACAAAAAAAGGCATTTCTTTGATTTTACTATTTTGATTATTTATTAATTATTATTAATGTTTTTTTTCCACGAAGCCGAGAAAAGGACGAATGCAGTGGCCAATAAGCAAAGTAAGAAAAGAAATGGTCGCCTTTTGAGCGTTGGGTGTCCTTCAGTCACTCCGGCCCCGTTGGTCTCAATATTCAGAGCCGGTAAATGCCGGTAGGTTGTAGCAGTGGGTCTTCGTCTCCGGTGTGGGTATCATACTACAGCGGAGTTAATCGCCGTCGCCGTCGTGCGTCTCCCGATTTGGAGGCCGAAAAAACCGTGACTGGTTTTCTGCATCTCCGCCAAAAAAGTACTCACCTAAATCTGTTACCCTTTAGATATACGGGCATTTTTTCTGGGTGACTTGGAACAACAATTGGTTGGTGGCTGATGCTCTCAGCGTTGAAGATTGTTCGAAAATGATCATAGATTTATAACTAAATAATACATTTTCATTAACCTGACTTCTTGTGGGAGCTCGAAGCAAACCCATGATATTATGTTCAAAGTGGACAAATATCATATAACATTGTAGAGATTCGTGATTAGTAACATGGTATCAGACTATGAACTTAACTTGGCTATGTCGAACAAAAAAGTTGTAAGCCTAAAAATCGTAGTCAAAAGTGTCAAACAAATTGTGTATTGTTCAAGGTCTCCAAAGAAAGAAGTCAAGTCTCGATTAAAGGGAGTTTCTTTTAGAAATCCATAGGCTTTAGGGGAAGCTCTATGGTGTATTGTTTTCGAGGGGAGGCTCTACGATCATAGGTAATCTATAGGCTTCAAATGTGGCTCTATGTGGTGTACTTAATGAGGGGGGAGACTCTATGATCATGGGTTTATAGGTAAGGAAGTCAAAATAAAGTCACAAGAGTTCATGCTCTAGACAATATAATACTATGGTAGACAATATCATAGCTTTATTTCAATTCATAAATTCATGATTCTCTCACAAACTTTATTACAATTCATAAAATTTTTAAAGCCAAATCTTTTCATTCCACCCAAGAATCAAGGCTTTTCCCCAATATAGTTGCCCGGAGGATCATAATTGCAAACAACAAATTGAGAATTAGCTTTACAAGGCACTCTAGCACATCCAAGCCGCACCGAGCTCCGCCACACCATCTGAGTGTAGTGCCCACATTCACCGCCAACGCATTTATTCGACCCATGATCATACAACGGCTTCTCGTTCGCCCACATCTTCACCGCATCTGCCCTGGTGAACTTAGGGTAGTAGCATACGACTATGTTTTCCCCGTACGGTCCGGTTGAGTGAATCATGGCGCAGTCACCCTTTCTTTTTTCCGCATAGGCTTGAGCGTATGCGACCACGGTGTTGCTCCATTGCATGGGGTCGATGTCGACCTGGGCTCGAGCTCGGTTGTGAAGTGCGAGGTAGTCGCCGGGGGCGTTTTGAGCGTTGGTTAGGGCGAGGAGGAAAATGAAAGTGGCCATTATCGAAAGGGTTAGAGTCTACATAATTCCGATGAGAGATGAGGGGAGGATTGAGAATGAGGGAATTATGAACTAATTATGCCATGCTTGGGAATTCAAAGAGAATAAATTCATTCTCGCTTCCATGTTTAATTACGGGCTAGACTTCTATTTGGATTAGGTTCAAATAAATGAAAATTTTCTAGATTTAGCTAGTTTATGAATTTTTTTTAGGATTAATGAAACTTAATCCACCCGATTATGGTTTATCTTAAAAGATACATTTTTACTCGTAGGTATATATTTATTGTTTGATTGGTTAATTAAATGTTCGAAAATAAATAAATAATGTTAATATTTCCTTAAAATTTTGAGTAAATGAAATGAACTCATTTAACCTAAAATTTTTATAACCTATTTAGATTGGATTTATTATATAACAAGAATTTTAGATTAAAAATATTTACTACAATTGAGTTATGAATTTATTTATTTATCTTTTTTTAAAAGTAACGGTAACTTAAAACATATATTCATGGATGAAATAAAACCTTCTACCTCTCGGTTAATAGTATATTTTAATTACTATTGAGTTATGTGCAGTAGAGCTAATCGCCATCGTGGGTCTCCCGATTTGGAGGCCAAAACATCGTGACTGGTTTTTCGCATCTCCGCCGTGGGCATTTATTCCCGTTGACTTCAAAAAACATTTGACAGTTATTCTCCGCGTGTAAAATTGTTAAGAGAGAGTCTTTAAGAAATGATCATGAATTTATAAGTAAGGAATAATCTCACACGACAACAAGCAGAAAGTACTTAATCTCAAACTATACAGTATCATATCAGTATAGAGATGGATGGTTCCTAAAACTTGGTAATTCTCCGTTTATTTTTGCAGTATTGGTAAGAAAACACATAATATCATGCCATTACGAAGATATTGTCCACTTTGATTTCACCTCAATGGACCCATGATCGTTCCCTAAATTCGCCGAGTGGGACTTTCATCCAAGTCCACTTTGAGTTCACCCCAATGGACTCATGATCATTCCCTAAATTCGTCGAGTGAGACTTTCATCCAACACCTCCCCTCGAACAAAGTATGCCTCCCTTTAATCGAGGCTCGACTCCTTTTCTTTTCCTTTTTCTTTTGGAGTTCTTTGTTCGACATTTGAGGATTCTATTGACATGGCTAAGTTTAGGGCATGACTCTGATATCATGTTAGACGAACACGACTCTCCACAATGGTATGATATCGTCCATTTTGAGCATAAGCTCTCGTCACTTTGTTTTGCGCTTCCCAAAAGGCCTCACCCCAAAGGAGATAGTATTCTTTGATTATAAACTCATGATCATTTCCTAAATTAGCGGAGGTGGGACATTCATCCAACAAAGATCATACCATTGTGGATATGAGTGATTTCTAAATCTCGGTAATCCTCCATTTATTTATGCCATTTTGGATAGAAAAACCGACAATATCATACCATTATGAAGATATAATTTCTAAAACTCATTAATTTTCTCCATTTATTTTTGCAATTTTGGATAGAAAAGTAGACAATATCATAAAATTGAAGAAATTCATTATTGCATTCATTCTTCATTTAGGGGAGAAAAGTATACAATATCATATTATTGTGGAGATTCCTAATTCACTTGATAATTCACCATTAGTTTTTACAGTTTTTGGGGAAGATTTCCAGTAATTCATGATTCTCTCACAAACTTTATTACAATTCATAAAATTCTCGAACCAAAGCTGTTTACAAAGAAGAACCATAAAGCTTTTCCCCAATATAGTTACCAGGAGGATCATAATTGCAAACAACAAACTGAGAATTAGCCTTGTAGGGCACTATAGCACATTCAAGCCGCACTGAGCTCCGCCACACCATCTGAGTGTAGTGCCCACATTCACCACCCACGTATTTATTCGACGCATGATCATACAGCAGCTTCTCGTTCGCCCACAGCTTCACCGCATCCGCCCCGGTGAACTCAGGGTAGTAGCCCGCGACTATGTTTTCCTCGTACGGCCCGATTGAGTGAATCATGGCGCAGTCACCCTTTCTTTTTTTCGCATAGGCTTGAGCGTACACGGCCATAGTGTTGCTCCATTACATGGGACCGACGCCGACCTGGGCTCCAGCGCAGTTATGAAGCGTGAGGTAGTCACGGGGGGAGTTTTGAGCGTTGGTTAGGGCGAGGAGGAACATGAAAGTGGCAATGAAAGTAGCCATGATCGGAGGAGTTTGAGTTCACATAATTTCGATGAGAGATGAGATGAAAATTGAGAATAAGGGAAGGATTTATATAGAGATGGAAACCTTAAGATATGGAATGCGATGGAAAACAATGAATTATGAACTAATTATGCCATGCTCGGAAATTCAACAATGCATTCGAGCTTCCTTGTTTAATTAGGCTAGATTTTTGTTTGAATTAGGTTCAAATGAATGAAAATTTTCTAGATTTAGCATGAATTTTTCTTTTAGGATTAATGAAACTTAATCCACATAGAGGTTAATCTTAAAATTTAAGATACATTTTTACTCGCCCTTTAGGTATTCATGCAGGTATATATTTATTGTTTTATTAACTAAATGTTTGAAAATAAATAAAAATAAATAAATAATGTTAATATTTTACTTAAAATTTTGAGTAAATGAAATGAATTAATTTAACCCAAAAATTTTATGATTGATTTAGGTTGGATTTATTATATAACAGAGAATCATAAGAAGAATAGAAAATCTTAACTTTCGATTCTAGCCGATTGACTCACTTAGTGGTCCGATTGACTCACTTAGTGGTAGAGTGTGGTAGAGTCGGCTAGTGGCTACAATTAGTCTGACTTGATCCATTAAACTTTCCATTCTAATCAATAAATTCAGTTGAATAGGTTAAACTTTTATATTAAAAAAGTTAATTTTTTAAAATTTGGAGACTTATTACACTCTTTTAAAATAACAAATAACAAATGGTTAAACATTTTCTTATCCTACTCTTTTCAAAGTTTAGGAATATGTATGTTTTTTTTCAAAGTTTAGGTTGCGGCAATGGGCCTTCGTCTCCGGTGTGGGTCTCATAGTGCAACGGAGTTAAATGCCGCCATGCATCTCTCGATTTAGAGGCCGAAAACACTGTGGATTGGTTTTTCGCATCTTTGCTGAGGGCATTTCTTCTGGTTGACTTGGAACAAGAATTGGATGGTAGCTAGTGTTCTCAGTATTGAAGATTGTTCGGAAATGATCGTAGATTTATAAGTAAAGAATACATCTCTCGGAGCCCGAAGCAAACCTATGAGATTTTTTCATGTTCAAAGTGGACAAATATCATATACCATTGTAGAGATTCGTGATTTTTAACATGGTATCAAACCATGAACTTAACTTAGTTATGTCGAACAAAGAAATTGTTAGCCTCAAAATTGTAGTCAAAAGTGTCGAACAAATGGTGTATTTTGTTCGAAGGCTCTAAAGAAAGTAGTCGAGCCTCGATTAAGGGAATATTGTTCTAGAAATCTATAGGCTTTAGGGGTGGCTGTGTGATGTACTTAATTTAGAGGAGAGACTCTATGATCATGGGTTTAGCAAGGAGGTCAAAACAAATTCACAAGAGTTAACTCAAACCCGATAATATAATATTATTATAGACAATATCATAGCTTTATTTCAATTCATAAATTCATGATTCTCTCACAAACTTTATTACAATTCATAAAATTTTTAAAACCAAGTCTCTTCAGACTACCCAAGAATCATAAGGCTTTTCCCCAATATAGTTGCCAGGAGGATCGTAATTGCAAACAACAAACTGAGAATTAGCTTTACAGGGCACTCTAGCATATCAAAGCCGGACCGAGCTTCGCCACACCATCTGAGTGTAGTGGCCACATTCACCCACTCATTTATTCGACGCATGATCATACAGCGGCTTCTCGTTCGCCCACAGCTTCACCACATCTGCCCTGGTGAACTCAGGGTAGTAGCCCGCGACTATGTTTTCCTCATACGGCCCGATTGAGTGAATCTTGGTGCAGTCACCCTTTCTTTTTTCCGCATAGGCTTGAGCGTACGTAGCCACGGTGTTGCTCTATTGCATGGAGTCGACGTCGACCTGGGCTCAAGCGCGGTTGTGAAGCGCGAGGTAGTCACTGGGGTGTTTTGAGAGTTGGTTAGGGAGAGGAGGAACATGAAAGTGGCCATGATCGGAAGGGTTTGAGTCCACATCATTCCGATGAGAGATGAGATGAAAATTGAAAATTGATGAGGAAAACGATGAATTATGAACTAATTATGTCATGCATGAAGCTTGCAAATTCAACTGGAATGAAGTCGTTCTGGCTTTCCATGTTTAATTAAGATATTTTTATTTGAATTAAGTTAAAATAAATGAAAATTTTGTAGATTTAACTAGTTTATAAATTTTTTTTAGGATTAATGGAACTAAATTCAAGAAAATTATGGTTAATTTTAAAGCGACATTCTTATATTTATTGCTTTATTTAATTTAATTTAATTTAATTTAATTTATTCTTCAACCACTTTTTAAATGTCTATTAATTTAGTGACTTAATTAAATATTTGAAAATAAATAAATAAGTTTAATATTCTACTTAAAGTTTTGAAAAAATGAAATAAACTAATTTAACCCAAAATTTTTATGATCGAGTTAGATTGAGTTTTATATAACGAGAATTTCTTAGAAATATTGATGACTAATTGAGTTATGGATTTTTTTTTTTAAATAAATGTAAATTAAATTATAGATCAATGGATGAAACAGAACCTACATCCTAATTGAGTTATATTCCCTTTACCATTATTATAAGAAAATAATAATAATAATAACCTTTGAGCAATTAGTTAAAATAAAAATTATTTTCCAACGTATATGGTAAATTCCAACCCAATAAAATTTCTCAAATAAAATAAAGTTTTCATTTCTACTTCGATGAATCCTAAAAAAAAAAAAAAAAAAAAAAAAAAAAAAAAAAAAAAAAAAAAAAAAAAAAAAAAAAAA